GAATTTTGGATCCACACTAAGGTTGACACTGGGAGGATTTGAGATTTGGATTTGTGGACTTGAGCTTTCATGGACATTACTGTAGTGTGGGTTCAACGTGATTATCCTTGGCATCATCATCATCTTCGTCATCGTCATTCAGAAGAAAACAGATAAGACTTTCATTAGTATGTTGCTGGGTGTTGAGTGAAAAATAAAGTAAGATCTTTTGTGTGACTAGGAAAGAGTTTTGAAAGATAAAGAAAAATGCAACAAATGAAAAAAGTTTATTGATTGTTTTTCTGCAGATCACAGATTTGTTAAGATTGCTAATAAATACGTCCAATGTACTTTAAACACCATATAGTTAGTGAATCCCACCCAAAATAAGACAAATCAGATTAATAACTAAGTTATTTTGTGAGGTTAAAGAAGGAGTTGTAGTATTGCTCCATAGACCTCCATTCATTCTGCACTCCGCCTGCGAGCGCCCCCGTATGGACAGAGGCGTGTTACTGCAGCCAGTCCAGAAACCGGAAGTAACGAGACAGTGCCAATTCTCCACTGCGCAGGAGGAACATTTAGCGAACATGATCGGGTCAAAAAAGCTTAAATATTTTTGGTTTTGGCCCCAACTTTATTCAACTTTTTTTCAGAAGTTCAGGAAAACTTGATTTAAAGTTTGGAGAATTATGAAATTGGGAATGTTTTTTGGAGTTGCAATATTGAAAGGGGCTTATTATTCTGTTATGTCTTTTTAGTCAAAATGTCATTGCAGTACACATTTAATTGCAACTGGTCTCTGCACTGTAAAAAAAATATTGATGGTTTAACTTAAAAATGTAAGTAACCTGGTTGCCTTAAAATTTTAAGTTGATTGAACTGGAAAAAGTAAGTTAATACAATGATTAATTTAGATTAATTTAACCATCAGAAACTCAAAATAATAAGTTATCTCAAATAAATAAATTATTATAAAGTTGATTTGACAAAAGAAAATATGTTGTGATAACAAATCTTGAATTTTTTTTTTACAGTGTACAATTGATCCAGAATGCTGCAGCCAGAGTAGTCTTTAATGAGCCAAAGAGAGCACTCGTCGTCACTCCTCTCCTCTCAAAATTGCACTGATTGCCAGTTGCCGCTCGCATTAAATTCAAGGCACTGACGTTTGCCTACAGAACAACCACTGGCATTGCTCCCTCTTACCTAAACTCATTACTTCAGACTTATGTGCCATCCAGAAACTTGCACTCTGCTAGCGAATGTCGTCTTGTGGTACCATCTCAAAGAGGCACAAAATCTGTTTCTTGGACCTTTACTATGACCGTTCCCTGCTGGTGGAATGATCTGCCTAACTCAACCAGAGCTTCTGAGTCAGTAGCCACTTTCAAGAAACTGCTGAAGACGTATCTTTTTCGGCAGATTCAGTAGTACTAATACTTTCTCTTCTCTTCTCTAAAACTGCACTAAAATTAAACTGAGAGGGGTTATAGCACTTGCGTATTGTTGTCCTACTGTTAGTTTAACTGCTTCTTTCGTTCTCATTTGTAAGTTGCTTGGATAAAAGCCTCTGCTAAATGAATGTAAATAGTTTAGTCAATAAAATAAACAAACCGTATACAGCAAATAAAATAGTAATGAAAAGGCTATATAAAATATAGGCTGTATAAAATAAATAATGACTAAATTCTAAAATAATTGACTAAAATCGATTTGCCAGGGAACAAATGATACGATCAATGAGACCAAAGATCGCCACATGTACACAAGATGAATTATATCCCATGTTTAACCACTAGACTACAGACATCAGAGCCAGCGGCAAACGTCAGAAGCACTAGCCGAGGAAAGGCTGTTCCAGGCGGGGTACATGAGCGCTGAGAGCCCGGTGAAAGACTGGTCCTCACAACTCCAAAAACGTCAGAACAAATTTTTAAATAGCCGCAACATACAAATACCACATTCGCATTACATTTGTATAAAAAAAATTATATCTTTAGAAAAGTGGATTTTTAGGGTTATTGCATGGGTATTGTAACACTCAACCCTTTATTTTCTCATGTTTTCTTTTTTTTTTTTTTTTGAGCTGTAGTAATTATACTACACACCTTGCGGGGGCATCAAGGAGTAATACTCTCAGGTATAAAACAGGTGTAGAGAGTACATGTAATGGAGGAGTAAGCATGCATTAGAAATCCAAGAAATCAATGGTCCTGATTGGGAAACTGAAAGTTTGATGCTCAATCGAAAGTAAGCATTGTTTATTTTCTTATGTTGACTGGTTGATGTATGAGTGTGTATTTTTTCTAATGTTATTTATTTATTTTGTAGAAGGACTTCACATACTGTGGCTTTTGTCTTTCTGTCACATGGTGGTATCCTTGTCTGAAACTATGCGAGCGAGTTTAGAGGCCCTGTGGCTTATTTCAGTGGTTTTCCGCACTGTTTTGGATCCCGAAGCTGAATTGTATGGAATTTTGGACCAAGGTTGACACTGGGAGGATTTGAGATTTGGATTTGTGGACTTGAGCTTTCATGGACATTACTGTAGTGTGGGTTCAACGTGATTATCCTTGGCATCATCATCATCTTCGTCATCGTCATTCAGAAGAAAACAGATAAGACTTTCATTAGTATGTTGCTGGGTGTTGAGTGAAAAAATAAAGTAAGATCTTTTGTGTGACTAGGAAAGAGTTTTGAAAGATAAAGAAAAATGCAACAAATGAAAAAAGTTTATTGATTGTTTTTCTGCAGATCACAGATTTGTTAAGATTGCTAATAAATACTTCCAATGTACTTTAAACACCATATAGTTAGTGAATCCCACCCAAAATAAGACAAATCAGATTAATAACTAAGTTATTTTGTGAGGTTAAAGAAGGAGTTGTAGTATTGCTCCATAGACCTCCATTCATTCTGCACTCCGCCTGCGAGCGCCCCCGTATGGACAGAGGCGTGTTACTGCAGCCAGTCCAGAAACCGGAAGTAACGAGACAGTGCCAATTCTCCACTGCGCAGGAGGAACATTTAGCGAACATGATCGGGTCAAAAAAAGCTTAAATATTTTTGGTTTTGGCCCCAACTTTATTCAACTTTTTTTCAGAAGTTCAGGAAAACTTGATTTAAAGTTTGGAGAATTATGAAATTGGGAATGTTTTTTGGAGTTGCAATATTGAAAGGGGCTTATTATTCTGTTATGTCTTTTTAGTCAAAATGTCATTGCAGTACACATTTAATTGCAACTGGTCTCTGTCTGAAAGGAGTCATTTAAAAATTCAAGCACAAACCTAATAAACTAGCATATAATCTTGCTCTGCATAAAGCAATATTGATTTTATATTGTTTCTTGATTTATATTGTTTTTCTTATACAGTTTTCAGCTTTAATTTGTATCATTTCCATTCAAATTGTGATACTAACATATCATTAATATTGTTCAGTTGAATATCAGCAAATGATTTAATTCATAATAATTTTCAATTATTACATTTACTATAGACATTGTCTGAAATAACATTTAGTGTTAATTTAATGAAATTTAGTGATTCAATGTACTTCAATAATAAAAATTTTCTTTATAAATATATTGTTCAAGTACATGCTTTTTTAAATTTGTTGTTCAAATAAATAATGTTCAGTGAAATCAGTGAAGGTCGCCTACTTTAACCCTTACAGTATTTATGAATATTGATGTTGAGTGACTATGATCAGTAAAATTGTTCAAGGTACTTTTCAGAACTAAATTAAACCTTAAACTAAGTTGTGCTGTTTTGATATTCATAAACATGGAAAAAATGGTTTGTACTTGGCAAATCTGGGAAGAAACCACACTGAGTTTGTGTGTAACAGTTCACACACTGAAAACCACTTGTGTATTTCTTTAAAGTGGAGCCTAATTAATTTCATTGAAAAAAAAAAAAACATTACATAACATAAACATTCATTATTTATGAACATTATTGTGTAAGTTTTGTAAAAATGACAATTCATGTGATATTTCATATGTTTTCGTATACCATATACCGTAAGTCAGACGGGATAACGCTGTTTTTTTTTCCATTGAAATCAATGCATAATTTCACTAAATGGAGTTGAGGAAACAATAATAACATGAAATCAAGTCCTGTAAAACTTTTTCAGACATTTTACATTTTAACTCACATTGCAGTGTTAAAATGTGTGTAAAGAACTTGAACAAGAAATACAAAAAAAAAATAATAATAATTTTTTTTTTTCTGATCTCTAAATATTGTTTACTGCATCACTTTACATATATTCATTAGCCTAAGTATTATTGATTTGAAAAGTTTTAATATCATAATATTTAGAAAATGCATTAACGTTATCCTGTAGGCCTTATGACATTTTGACTGGTGTGGTCACATGATTCTCAGTTAAACCACTTAAAATACATAGTTTAAAATTTAGATTTTTAGTAACAAGTAAAAAAAAAAAAAAAAAACATCCCCATAAAGATAATAACTACTTTAATGTACAGTTTTAACCAATTTGATTTTTTTTTTTTTTTTATCAGTTGAAAACCTTATTTGTCATTGATGTGAGCTCACGCGCTCTGCTCACGCACGCGGCTTCGGATGCGCGTGCGAGCATATGAGTGATTCGAGTATGAGTTGCTATGGCGACGCGTCTTATGAATTTTGAATGAAAATATCAACACTTTGATCGCTGTTGGTTGGTTGAGAGTCGAGGCGATTTCAGAGACTTTTGCTGAAAATTTTCTTGTGCTAAACTTGAGATTTTGAAGCTGTTCGGAGGATTTCAGAAAGAGAGGAGACTTTTATTGCAGAAGGAGATCGGATAATATATCCTAGCTAACGCTACATCGTTTTATTTATTTTTATTTAATATTATTTCTGAGGACGCTTTAATTTGATTGTTCTTTTCTTATTTTTGAGGGAGTTTTGGAGTTTTATTTTATTTATTATTGTTTATTTTATTTTTATTTTTTATTTTTTTTGGGGGGTGGGGTGTTTCTGAGTATTTTGGGTGGGGTATTACTGAGGTGGGGTATTTCATTGTATTGTATTGTATTTTGTATTGTATTGCTCTTGTTTGCAGGAGGATGCCAGGCCCGACCGGGACTCAGAGCCATGAGCTTATTCCTGGATATGTAACATCTCTGTCTTGTGAGTTTGTTTCTGTCTCCACAGGTCCGGCTGACAGGAAGAGAGAGTGGCAGAGAGACAGCCAGCAGAGCCCAGATGATGGACGTCCGTCCACTTCTTCTCAAGACTCTCGGAGAGCAAAGGCAAAGGTAGGGTGACCAACAGTCCTGTTTTCACGTCCTGTCCTGGCCCTCCTGGCTGCTCTTTATAAAGTGATGAAAATGTCCTGGTTTTCAAAAAACTGCTGGGAAAGATCAGCTCTACAGCAAAATATAGATGGGCAAGGAAGAAAAACAGGATAAAGAGGAAGAAAACTAAAGAAATAAATATATTTTGTTAGTTCTTTTTGGCAAGTTTGTGAGAGATATATATTTGTTCAATTTGTAGGTATTTCTTTCAGTTATTTATTATTTATATATTTACTTTTGTAATACAGAAGAGACATTATTTCATTATTTTTGAAACCTGTCATAATAAAACGTTGAGTAACCTCTGAGAAGCCTATCTGGATTTGTGTCTTGTTAATGTAACAATTTTCTATTTATACAGAGGAGGAATAGCCTACTTTCAATGTATTGAAATTAATAAGGCATCTTTGAGTAAACTATGAGTATCTGTTTGCTGGGCCGAGTGTCCTGGTTTTTGGTAATCAAAATATGGTCCCCCTAGGCAGAGGAAGAGGAGAAGAAGCTTCATTCCCGTGACTGGAGCGGCATCATCCCAGACCAGAGGACTGCGCCGATACCTGAGAGAAGAGCTGAGGGTAAATCAAATGACCATTGGAGAATATTATCACTGGAGTGTCATTAATTACCATATATGACCACACCATATTATATCAAAATACAACTGAAGCCAATAATCAGATTTAGTTTTTATTCCAAGACACATCATAACATATTTAAATAAGGATTGGATACAAGTTTCAAGAATAGCCATAATTTGAGTATCCAATGTTTAATAATTATGATTAGTTTGAAACATGCTTGTGTGTGATATTCCCTGCTTTAGAGGATCATGGTCACACATGGTACACAACATTATAAGTTATTATTAATATTTGGTTGGTTCTCTTGTTTTTGCATGTGTTTTTAATTCAGCTTTATATAACAGCCTGGACAAAAATGATGTTGCCAAATTGTTTATGTTTTATTGAATTATTATCACAAATTAAACAATCGACTCCCAGCTTAACTGTGCAATATGACTACAAAATCTTACACACATTTATAATAACATTTAAATGCATGACAAGAGTGCAGATGTCAGATTTCCTGGGCCGGACGTCACTTGTGTTCACTATTGTATATAGCTGTAATTGTAAATGTAAGGGAGAAAAGGAAAGCGTGTTTGTGTGTGTGTATTCAGGCACTAGGATGATTGGGAAGAACATATTTAACTGTTTTCATCCCATGTTCTTCTTTCTTCATGATGTCAAGCCTCAGTATTTACGGTTTCTTGTGTTAATGTTTTTACCTTTCTTTAAGGCATCTGTGCTTTCTTACGGAGAATCGGGAAGGCTGTAAAGCTGGACTGCAGTGAGGTCGATATACTTGTGTCCACATATCCCTCCTGCAATCCCACGGATGTCCAGCAAGATTCATCCGAGTTTTACTGGGCAACACCAGTGCATCCGTGTCCATCTGGAGTCCAGCTGCCGGTTAATGCCGATCCGGACGATCCCGAACACTCTTGCACATCTGTCCTGGACCCAGAGCCGGCAGTGGCACGAGATCTAGAGCTGATGTCTTTCTCGGGATTGTCCAGTCTCTCTAGTATCGAGCTGACGCCGGACTCTATTCAGGACGATCCTGACGATGCATCGTCTGTCCCGGGTGAGTCTATGGTCATTATTATTACTGTCAGTACTTTCATTATACCGAGTTGTGTTGTGTTCATCTTGTGTACCTAATTATTAAAGTCCCCCGCTGGTCAATCAATTCATCCCTTTAAACTCATCTTTGATCACCAAATAATTCCATATTTAAATGTTTTTTTCTTTGAAAAAACAATCCGTCACGCCTTAAAATAGCTTGAATGTAACTCGACACCCTTGCCTCATTTAGTATGCTCGGTTCTATGAATATGCAAAATGGCCCCGCCTCCACTCACTCACTCAGCCCAGAGATCCACTGGTTGACGATCACACGTTGATCTGATTGGTTACAAGGTGGTTTGTGACGTCAGAAACACCAGCGATTTCACACCGTGTTTTTGAGACTGTCTTTGGTTCACTGCAGTTTTAAGGAGGAAATACTCTGAAAATACTTGGAAAATGTCCCACTTTTCCAGTTGTCTCACCTCACAATTGAATTCTTTCTTCATTATGTCTTCCCTCAGATTTTGCTGAAAGCCAAACACAGAAGAAGAAGAAAGATGTGGGTGCGTTTCTCCGTAGGAAATGGAGGGCTATGATAGCGCCGGCTGTTGGTAAGTCTATTATTAGTCTACTGTCATTCTTTTCGTTATAGTTGTGGACTTTTGCTCTAGTCTACGGTTTATGTTATTCTTGTTCCCCTTAAATTATTAGTGTTCAACATTCAGCATCTATTTTATTTTTCACTATAATCTAGCGGTGGGAATCTTTTGGTGCTTCACGATTCGAAACGATTCTCGATTTTGAATCAAATTTCGATTTGAAATGAGCATTTTGATTGTAGTTTACTGTTGTGTGTTACTTCTCTTATTTGACTGCGGTACACAGTTTAATAGCTCTAGAGAAAAAAAGAAAATCCGACTGAATTAAATGTGAACCTTGAAATGTATTTAGTTTTTTAGGAATGAGTGCATGAAAATAGTTACACATCCGGTTTTCTTCCATTTGAAAAGGCATTTTTGTGTGTGGGCTGTAGTCATATACGTTTACATAAGGGATTTATTAATATGAAAATGATTTTGTGATTCTCTACTGTAACCCATGACACAGTCACAAGCTATTATAAGTCCATCACTTTTTTGCCGTTTTATTGCCTTTCCATGATTTGCTTTGGTCGTCTTTGTTCTGTCCGAAGTCGGCGTGGCGTAATTGACTTTATTTTTCCATTTTTTCTTTTTTTTAGAAAAACAATCAAGAAGGAGGGTGAAGAAAGGCTCATTCATCCAACGAACATGGAAAACTCTAAAGGTTTCCGCTCTTGGCTGTTACGGGGACGACACAGTGGACCCAGATCCAGCAGATCTACAGCCACCAATATCTGTCCTCTCCAGGGACTTAACCGAGCCAGGTCCATCTCACCGCGAGATCAGTTCTGACCAGTTACCCTTCTCGGGTCCATCTCACCGCGAGATCAGTTTAGACACGTCACCCTTCTCAAGTCCATCTGGTTCCCAGTCAAGTTTCTTTTGCTCCGATTCATCGTCTGCTCCATGTCTGACCGATCTTCTCTCAGAGTTATCAATTTTAATGGGAGATTACGAGCCTGTTTCCAGTTAATCCAGTCTCAAGCTGATCCTGAGCTGAGTTGTAGGACTGTGCACACGTTTGTTTTCTGTATTGACTAAGCCTGAATTGCGGAAGAATCATCAAACTGAAGCTGAAATTGGGCAACCTGATATACACGGACACTGTTGGTTGAGGACTAAATTGGACTTAGTGTGATTTCAATTTTCCACGTTGCTGTTGTTTTTTTTTTCTTGATTGTTTCAAGTCCTTTTGTATTTTATTTTCATTTTTTACATTTTTTATTCTGATTGAATATTGTATTGGTTTCTCTCATCTTTTCCCGGCTGGAGCGTTTGGTTGTTGGTTGTAGAGCGAGACACTGCTTCACTGCTGCTCGCCCTGCGATCGATTGCCAAACTCACTTTCTTTACACTCACTTACAATCGAACATTTTCCTATACGTGACTCGTGCGTCTACACTACACCCGTACCACTAAAAAGACGGATTATACCCAAGTCTTGAGTCATAAATTAGTATAAATACTAATAGCATCACCTTTTTGTATTTTATTTATTTTTATTTATTTTCATTCCTAGAATATCCAGATCCACCATTTTCACATTTATTTCCATTTTCACATTTATCTCCCAGTTTAAAGCTAGACTAAAGATTTATAAACATTTATTTAGCCAGGCGTTCATATAAAATTTTTATCTTACAGTTACTGTAAATTTGGCCTCTAGTTCATAAACGCCAGAGGAGAACTGGCCCCCGACTGAGCCTGGGTTCTCCCAAGGTTTTTTTTTTTTTTCTCCATCGGGTCACTTGATGGAGTTTTTCGGTTCCTTGCCACTGTTGCCTTTGGCTCGCTCAGTTGGGGATATTCAAATTAAATGACCCATCATACCATTGGTCAGCTCCACCAAACTTGGATGTCTTTTTCTTTCCAGTAATAAACAAACACTGTTAAGTTCTTTTGATTGATACTGTGAAGCAGATATGATACAATCTGTATTGTAAAAAGTGCTTTTTAAATATATTTGACTTGACTATTCTACACACTTTGTGTTCATGTATAATGTATGCTTGTATAATGTATTCTTGTATAATGGCTGTTATTGTTCATTAACTTTTATTATTCAGTAAATAATATTTTGTAATAATAATATATTGGCGTACCTGATTTTGAGAGATGGTGTGTGTGTTCGACCGCTTAACACTGTGATTGCTATCAGGATATGAGGAGAATTTCAACCCGCATAATAAAAAAATTAATTGTAGACAGTCACCTATTGCATCTCAGCATTTTCCACACACTTTTATCTTTATATGGAAAAAAATGATATTCTTCAGGAGGGGCAGGTCCTCTATCCACCTTATTTTTAATGTAATACCAAGGTATCAAAAATACAAGTACATATCAAAAATGTAAAACTTACATACAATTAAATGATAATAAAATCCATAATTTATGCAAATATACATGGGCCTATACATAGATTTCATATAGCCTATATATACATGTAAAAACAAGAAAAACAGAACAGAAAACTTTAATGAAATGAGTTAAAAAGTTGAAACAAGGTTACTGAGCTTTAAGATTCTCAGATGATGAAATATTTGGATGTACTGTTGGACCTCTCTCCTAAAAACGGTGAATTTGAAAAGAGAATTTAATAGCAATAATAGAATAATAATAAAGTATTCATTCGTTTGAGCTTTTTGTATATTAAAAAAAGCCAAACATTACATCCTTAAAAAAAGAGAGAGAAACCCGGAAGAACATTGCAGTTAATGAGCATCTCGTCTGACTGTTTACTGATAAACCTGCTCCCTTTCAGGTACATCATGAACCGTACATTTGCACTCATGTGAATATTAGTGACTAAATCTATTTTTTGCTAGGTTAGGTATTGTGTTATATTGTTGAGTTAAATACGATACGGGGCGAATCCAATGTAAAATGCGAGAGTTTTCAGCTGGAGAGCACGCGGTTCGCTCGCAAATCGTTTATGTGTTTATCAGTAGAGTGATTAAATGAGTTGAAGGTCGATATATGATCTGTGTTTTCACTTGTGTTTTATGTCAGATTGAGGCTTGTGAATATAGACAGTCAGTGTCGCTGTTTTAGGATGCCCACTACTTTAAGTGCACTCATTTATTCACAGTGAACTTGGGATGCGTTGATTTAAAGGAGAAGTACATACGAGCTCATGCACTGGTGTATAACATTATAGAAATAATAGAGCTCATGCATTGTTGTGTAATAATTATTCATTGATTGCCAAGATTGATTCTAAGTAAAAACTCTGTTAATGAAGCATCTCGTCTGACTGTTTACTGATAAACCTGCTCCCTTTCAGGAGTGCTACATTAGCAGGGTTAAATTTGTGTACAAATTTTAGTGAAATGTCTTTCAAACTCAAAGTCCATACTGGCAAAGTCAATATGGTCAACAAAGTTCATCCAATATGACGCCACATATGGAGTTGTTACAAGCTCCTTTTAAAAGAGAGATCTAATTCTAGAATTACGGGATGAAGGATGCGATGTGTGTGTACTCTATAGCAGTGGTTCTCAAAGTGGGGTCCGCGGATCCCTGGTGGTCCGCGAGCTAAAGCCAGGGGGTCCGCGAAATAATTTACAACCTAACGTTTTTTTCCATGCTATGAGTCTTCTTTATCATCTGAAAACATGCTGTTTATTCCTAAGTAACTTATATAAAGCATTTAACATAAAACAATACAAAGTAGACACTTAAAGTTTTCTATAGATAGATAATCTATATCTGTGCGTCAAGTAGATTCGCTGCTGTTGATTTTGCGGGACGTGCGCCAGAGGAGACAGAGAGACGGCATTAACCCGCATCCGGTTCTTTTCTGTATTTTTAAAAGCATGACATTTTGTAGTCATTTATAATGTAGCCTATACACAAATAAAAAATGGACACTTTACCGTTTCGGATGATGCACTCTTGTCTTATCTATGACCATAAATAAGAGTATTCCTGTTTCCACTGCTGAGGAAAAATTCCATGTAATTGCGCGCCGGCGTCTCGCGTGCGCGCACAATAGTCAGTTCTAGCACTGCTACTGTAGATTTGACATTAGAAGTCTGATCATTATCAAAATAAAAGTGCATAGTGACAGGGCCGTACCCACAACTGAGGTTGCAAGGATGCACATCGCGATGATAACTGACCTTCTCGTCTGAGGTGCTTCAGCAGACTAACAACGATAGCTCGTCAATGTCAAAATGTTTGAGTCGGAGTGAACTCAAAGTTCCCCGCACGACGTTTCAGTCAACGGTCAATCAGTGCGAGATAAGATGTAGGCCTTAATTAACATAAACTAAACAGCTGTTTTAGATAAAAGTTTTAAAAAACGACTGAAACAATCAGTTTGCAAAGTATTAATCAACTTTAACAAAGGAAAAAGCAGGTCAATAGAAACATACTGTGCCCATGAGATTAACATTATGGATTCATATATTTAACATACTGTATGTTTTTTTTTTAGCTAATTACAGTAGCTCAAATTAACAACGCACGCACCTATTAAACATAATGCCATTATCATTGTATTTATAGGCTTATGGGCTTTATTTGTGTGCAGAATAGGCCTAATTATTGAAACATTTCTCTTTTAAGGCCATTCCTGATTGGAATATGTGATTGTGTTTCGTGACATCTTGACAAAAAAAAAAAAATGTATGCCACTGACTGACATGCTTCTACTAAATCTATAGTTATCCAATTGTGGGGCCTTAAAACACCTTAAAATGCACATGTGTAGATCAAGAACATCAAAAATTCCTAAGTGAGGGATCCTAACTAAGTGATTCCTAGCAAGATCACTTTCGTTACCTCAGTAGGCTATTTAGAAATTCCTGCATAGTACCCTGGGTGGAGACCATTCATTTTGTGCAAAAATATTTCATTTGCCGCTCACACATTAACTTTGTGCTCAATAACTGTTATAAATATGAGGGGGGTCCTTGGAATTTTTTCCCCCTGAAAGGGGTCCCTGGCACCAAAATGTTTGAGAACCCCTGCTCTATAGTGTAGGCTTCTGTATTAACTGATCAGGTTGAATATGGGCACACTAGCATTATATAGTTATCCTCTAAGTTCGTAAGGAGGATTTGAGACAGCAATTTCACTACAACTTGTGAAATGAAAAAAAGAAAATGCACTGAATTGGTACCAGTTCAAAGTTGATAAATCTACAATCAGTAGAGTGCCGAAGTGATGACGTCACTTTGTAGACAACTCGGAGCTAGCGGCACGTGGGTTCCCTCTGTCGAAAAGCTATGCATTTCCCCATAGACTTTTGAAAAATCGCAAAAAATAAGATCTGTGTTTAACAAAACAGTTGTGAGTGTGACCCTTACACGTTTTGTCTATCAAGATAATTTTTACAAGTTAATCCAAAAGTTACACATTGAAGCCTATATAAAGTTTTTAAAAAACACAAAAAGACACAATAAAGTTTTAAAAAACCACAAGTGGGTTATAACTGTGTTCTATGTCAGACATCAAAACGTGAAAATATTTAGAGGCTTTGTTCACCACAGACCTTATTTCAGGCGATTTAGCAAAAACCCATTCAAAAATCCCATAGGCTTTAGAGCGAGGGAACCGTAGTGCTAAAATGCTAACTCACTTCCGCGTTTTGGCCTACAGAGTGACGTCGTAACTTCGGCACTCTAGAACTAAAACAAATACAAGCAGGCCTGCTTCATATGACAGAACAGAAGCAGAAATAAACATGTGACAGAAGAAAGATTTACTAGCCAGTATTTTTTTAAACTCAGTTTCAGTACTCACACTCTCCGCCTC